TATATATAAATAACTAAATAACAACAATAGTGCCTTCATTGTAATTTACATTCCAGCTGTCTCTCATTAAAGTCTTTCAAGAGGAAAAATAAATAATAATAATAAATGGTACATGCAGCCTTTACTTAGTTTGGAGTCAGTACATGTTTTTTTTTGTTGTTGAACAAGGATGCATGAAATTGAGTTAAAGATAAAAATAAATTGAGTCAAAGTTAAAGACATTTTAACATGTTACGAAATATTTCTATTTTAAATAAATGTCTTTTTTTTATTTCTGTTCATCAAAGAATCCTGGGGAAAAAATGTATCATGGATTCCACATAAATATTAAGAAGCAGAACTGTTTTCATTATTGATGATAATAAGAAATGTTTATTGAGCACCAAATCAGCATATTAGAATAATTTCTGAAGGATCATGTGACACTGAAGACTGGAGTAATAGCTGCTGAAAATTCAGCTTAGCCATCACAGGAATAAATTACCTAAATAATAAATTACAAGAATAAATTACAAAAATATATTCAAATAACAAATTTAATAATATTTCACAATATCACTGTTTTACTGTATTTTGATCAAATAAATGCAACCTTGGTGAAAATGATTTCTTAATATAATACTAAATTAATCTATGATTTTTAAATTCATTTATATCTTTTCCTTTTTTCAGAATTCTTCTGTGTTGTAAGTTTGAACATACTGGAGATTTCTCTCCTCTTTACATTACACATTATGTGTTAACGACACTGATCGTTTTTAAAGTGCATTCGTGGTAAAAGGACGTCCCATATAAGGAAGCGGAGAGAATTAAGGGAGGATATGATAAAACGTTTATTTTATGAGTGACATTGACATGTTTTGATGCTTTCTTTTATAAGAATAACAGTTTGTTTATTTCAAATGAATTGGTTTTGTAACAAAACGCTTGCGTAGTCGAAGTTTATTGTCCTCCATGTATCTCGTTTGCTGATATGTCTTACCAGAGGTGCCAAAAGATTGAATAAGAAAGCAGAAGTTTGATGTCCAAAACTATTGGTCAAACCTAAGTCCTGTTGCCTAGTCAGATGCAGAATGGATGTTTGGAATATCCAAAGCAACTGAAATATTGTGTTGAGCTAAAACTATTCTGTGCCTGATAAAGAGAGAGCGAGAGAAAGCAAGGTGCCCTGTTATATCTTTTCCTTTTTTCAGAATTCTTGGAATGTCTGTGGTTAATTCTAAAGTTTACTAAGAGTGGGCAGCATGTATTTTTTATTATTATTTTAGAATTATTATGGATTAATGCATTTACTGATTTTTATTTGTAAGACTGTTTTGAACATGAGTGAAGTCCCAATTTTGACTAGACTAATCTCTGAAAATTAAATAAATAAATAAATAAATAAATGGTTTGGTTCATGATATGCTTAAGACCATGCTTAAATTTTATTTTGATAGTGTGTGTGCTACGTTTTACCATTTTAAACATCTATGTCCTTCAGACATGAATGAATGACTATTAAATGACATAAAATTTTGTATGCTTAAGAATTCAAAAATGTACAATAAGCTTGACATTTCCAGAGGTATTTCAAACAACCAGTCAAAATCACTAAAGCAAAATAGTACTGTACTTCTACATGGTACATCTGTGTCTAATTCCTCTTGAGAGACTTTAATGAGGGACTTCAAACAGTTTAAATGTCAATTACAAAGAAGGCATGGTTTTAAGGTCCCAGTAATCTGTCCATATTGGGCATTGGTCATCAGGACATGGTGCCAGGTGGCTGTAATTCATAGCAGATGAATTTCCAGAGGCGCTGTACTGATGGGCCAGCTAATGTACAGTGTGAACTGTGACTGTCATGCCAGGGTTTGTCATATTTGCAGTTAGCATGTGAATATGCAGTGCGTCCAATGACAGTTTCGGTGCCTGAGGTCATCCAGGAGGATGTGTTTAACTCTGTTAATTAAACCAGCAGTTCATGTTTGTTATCCCTTGAAGACAAATCCATTTGTTCAGCTTCTGTAAAGGAACGCGCTTCTCACACATTGGCTTTTAAATTAGTTTGCCCAGGCGCACGTATAGAGAACCTGGATTATAATCAGCTTTCCATTTGTTTAATAACTGTGAGCTGATGTGAGTGTTTTTTTCCCCCCTCCTTCCACAAAAGCCACAAAGCAAACTGAGTTGGCTTGGAAGGAAATTTGAACACATTGCTAACTGCACGGGCTGGACCCAATTCCGAGGCCCATGAGTGGAGTGTGTGTTTGTGTGTGTGTGCACGTGTTTTATGGAGAGTCGAGAGCCACTAGCTTGGAAGCAGACTGGGATATCTCACAAACACCCTCATGTCAAGGATGTAACAGCATCCCAGAGGAAACATGGATTGATGCTATGAACACGACAAGTGATGAAAGTAGCCTAGAGCTTGTCAATTACACTTCCTGGGCCTGGACCCTATAAGTTAATGGGCAGCTTCCCCTTTCGAGGCCTGCCAAGGCTTTATAGTACTGCTTATAAAACCATGAAATGTAATGTGCTACTATAACTTTTTCAATTAAGAGCAACTGTGCAAACGCCCTTGGATACCTGGAAGCAATGGAAAGCAATTTTAGAGGCTTTTGTTGGAATAAATCAAAGGTAGAGTTCTAGATGCATTCATTTACAAACCATTTTTTAATGAACTTCTCTTTGGGATCCAATCCTGATGAGTTTTTGCTTATATTTGTTCACCCTATTTGTAACGATTAACCTTTTTTTAAATGCTAAATGCATGCCCCTAAATATCCCACTGTGCCCATCGCCATCAAGTTAATTGTTCATATTATTTGCTTTTAAACTACTGGATCAAATATATGTCTTCGGCCCATGTTTGAATTTTATATCAACTGCATTGGCAGTGCATGAAAGGGATAAATTAGGGTTGTTGTTGTTTCCTGTTCTAATATTCCTTGTGTGTGTGGAAGGACTGTGACATTTTCAAACAAAGTCAACAGGACAGATCATTTTAAATGTTCAAAGCCGCCGATCCCCCCTCATCTGGTGCCTTTTAGTGTAGGTGCAGCCTTTGGCATCCCATAGAAAAATAAATGAGTGCTGAGTAAATAGTGATGTGTTGACAACTCATTTCCACATTGATTGGTGCCGGTAACAGGAGCAGAGGTGTGTGGCCTTAATCCAATTACGAAACAAAACCCGAGCCTCACTGTAACCAACCATCTTACAGAATATGACCTGAACTGAGTAACCGAAATGTGAGTTAACCGGCTGACCCAGTGTGATCAAAGCAAGCCTGAGGTTGTTTTAGTGTGAAACAAGTAAGCTGGATTCAATGGCACTCCCTCATAAAGTACGTGAGGTTGTGTTTATATGTCTTCGCTCTTCACATAACCAAAAAAAAAAAAAAGATATTGGTTTTGCGTCTGTCTCTGGTTTTGCTCTCACATTTCAGATCAGTAAACTGAATGTTAGAGAAATGGCTGTTCGAAGCGTTCTTGTCCTGGAGGTAACTGAGAAGGTCCATACGGCCAACAGATGGAGATTTGTGCTCCGAGTCCCCACCGACCCAAACAAGTGCCTCTGCTCTTGCATTAAAAGCTTTGATCAACGGAGGGTCTCGGCCAGAGAGCGGCTCCTCAGATAGGCCATGGACTTGCATCTGTATAAACATGGCCTTTTAAAACAAATACATTATAAAAAGTAATAGTAAATTATATTTATTATACTTGGGGTGAATAAAAATAGGTGTGCTACACAGTGATTTATTTTATGATTCTAATTTAATATTGCTTATCATTTTGAGAGTTATAAACTGTAGTCTTGTCCTACAAATATGATCAGGTATAATGTACAACCATACAACTACAAATTTTTTTTCAAATGCATATTTCTTATATTTGAATAAGTGCATGTGGCTGACATATGCCAAACTCCCTAAATCTACTGTCTCTCCACCTCCTAAATCACTAGAGGCTGCTAATTTTATGTAGAAACACGGATAAGTTCTAATTTAAAGGCCAGAGCAAACAGCACTTACAGTGAAATTAGTCTCCGGCGATGAACCGTGCAATGAAATCATATCCATCCCTTTTTAATAACTGAATGAAATATTAAAAGAACATAAGCAATAAGAGGAGAAATAATAATAGGAGCAGATTTCCCATGGTGCAGCACATGGAAATGGGGAGATAGGAGCCCTGAGGTTGGGCTGGGCTCCTTCTCTCTGTGTCTGTGAGGCTCCACCAAGCCAGCCAACCTTCCACCGTTTCTCATTAGCTTTGGAAATGAGCACATCGTGGTTCAGGCTACGCAGCAGGAGGTTCAAGTGCTTCATTCAATGATGTTTGGAAGATAGGTGGCACTGGAGATCCTGAATATCACCTGCTTGACCAGTCTTATATGGCTCAGATATTAGAATAGTGTCTGTAGCTTATTTACAATCCGGGCAAGCAGTATACTCTCACAGCATTTCAAAGTGCTTTGGACTTTTAAAACAACAGTTGTAGTTTCTATAAATGCTTTTGTAATTTTCGTATTGGTTTAAGGCTCTTTTCCCACTGTGTTGGATGAACTGTTGCAATTCCAAATTGAGCATTTGGTTCATGTTGCTATGGGAGTATGTTTATGGATTTGAATAAGTGATTCAATGTTAATTTTATAGTAACTGTTAAATGTCTCTGGATTTGTGTTTTGTGGAGAACAAAGCTCCTGCCTGTAAATTTCTCTTTTTTTTTTCCCCCTCAGGGAATCATCTCTATTTAACACTGTTTCATCATATGAAAGTAACACAGCTGTTGTCAGATTCATGGAAAAGCTATTCTGTCAGAATATCAATTTAAATCATGCATATATATATATATATACTGACTCTGTATATAGACAAACTAGTAATTCATTCTTCCAAATTGTCTATTTAATAAAAAAT